CTCAATTATTTATCTGTCAGTTAATAATTTCCATTAAATCAACTAATAAACAACGAATAATTCCACAAAACATTTCAAAAACACTTAACTTCTATAAAAAGGTTCAATTACTTAAAAAAATACAATTCAGCAATTCAATTCAAAATACATGAAATTAATTGCATCGTCTTAGTTGAGCAGTTGATAATAACCATAGATACAGAATTACAAATTATTTTGGGCAGCAATACATTATAATAAGACGAAAAAAGACTCAATTATTTATCTGTCAGTTAATAATTTCCATTAAATCAACTAATAAACAACGAATTAATAAATACTTATCAATCAGCTATTCATCAATTCATTAAAAAAAAACAAAAAAAAACTGGTCACATAGGGAAGATAACTTGCGTAGTACCACTTGGTAGAATTGTAGAGGTCTAGGTGTCGTTTCTTCCCGAGTCTCATGGCTGAGCTATATTACTGTTCTCTTGAAACCAGTTTCTGTAACTTCTTATGGGCAAAATTCATGCATAGAGTTATAGCATTATTATATGATTTATAACTGTTTCCTAAAATACATTTAGCCACTCTTTTTTGGATTCTTTCAATTTCATTTTCATGGTGAACACTTAAACCCACATTCCAGACTGAAGTTGCATATTCGAGTATAGGTCTTAGATTACTGCTGTAAACAGTCCATTTTATTGAAACCAGCTCTCTTAAGTTTCCTAATCATTAAGATTCTTCTACTAGTTCTACTACATAAATCATAAACGTGGCAATCCCATTTGAGATCAGATTTCATTGTGATACCTAAGAGTTTGGTATTGTGAACAATTTCAAGTTGGTGGTTACCTATCATATATTGAGCGTTTAGAATAGCTTGGGGGCAAGGGTACCGTATACATTCATACCTTGCATTTATTATAGTTCAGTTTAAGCAAATTTTCCTCACTCCATTTTTGAAGGGAAATAAGGCTTTTGGAATTTTACTGGGATCTTTGTATGTCTACATTCACCTAAAGTCAGGTCATCAACATATTTCCATACATTAACAATACCATTGCCTCTATCATATTCATGTGCAGAGTTAATTGTACATAAGAATATTATGGGTGCTAAGATGATGCCCTGTGGTAACCTCCCTGTAGTGTTTGCCTACTTGAAAAATAATTTTTGTACCTGACTCGTTGCTTTCTACCTGATATGAAGTCAAGTTAGGTTGACTTGCCTTTTTGGTTTACATATTTTCTACTATCAATATTGGGCTTAATTGATTCAATTATATGACGTGAAACAAGTTTTTCAGCTATCTTGGCTAACGTTGAAGTTAGAGATATTGGCCTTAACGATTGAATTGAGGGTGAATTGCTTTTAGGAAGTGGAACAACATTGGCACATTTCCACTGGGATGGTACCTTACCAGACCTTATTGGTTCGTTATAATGTCAGTGGTTGGATCACAAATTTCATTAGCACACTCTTTCAGAACTTTTTGTGGAATCACATCTGATCCACAGTATTTCATGACCGAAATTTTATTGAGTTCTTTAAGAACATCCCATGTGTTAAATTGGGGAAGTGGTTCAGCACTGGGGAGATAAGCTGCAGTGGCGGCGACAACGGGGGAGGGGGCAGCAGGAGCTTAAACCGCCACCGGAGAGGTCAAGCCCACCCCCCACCCTATCAGACAGAGCTCGGCGGGCAGTCGGACTAAAAAAATATAAAAATAGGCCCATGACAAGCCAACACATGTCAGTCACAGTCTGAGAGTGTCATTTCTGGCTATCCAGAGGTTCCTATTCTTAAAACAAATCTCGTTTTGGGAAGGGGAACACCCTCTCAAGCCCTTCACCCAGCTCGGGCCTACTAGCTCAAATCCCCCTGTCGGACAGCTCAGCCTCCCCCCCCCCCCCCCTACACCCTAAAGCCGCCACTGATAAGCTGGTAAATTAAACATGGAAATTGGTTGCTGGGTTGTGGAGAAACTAGCCAACTGTTCATTTATTTTATTAGCTATTGAGGTATGGTGATTAGGATTAACACTAGGAATATATATTGTGGGCTTGGCTTTACTTATTCCTGCCAAATAGCGAATTTGTTGGTCCCACTTGCCAGCATCTGATTGCTGTGGAGGTACTTTACTTAACGTACATTGTGTCTAGTTTTGGCTTTCTAAATTTTAGTTTTTTCCAGAGTACAGTACATAGTTGTAGGTTAAGAATGCTTTTTGCCTTTCCTTATTAATTGTTTTATTTTATATGTCATCTAAAATTTATTAGCATCATGTAACTTGACCATCCTTTTAGGAAAGGATGTATCGATACCTACACCTATGTTCTAATAAAATAGATCAGCTTTTGATTGAACATCTTGTGCTTAAAGGACGCTGGTCCATGAGACTAATTGAAGCCATCTTCCAAATGCATTTAGCTAAAAATCTTTGTGGTAATTTCAGTAAAAAAAAAATAAAATAAACTAAGAGACATTACACATGAGTGTATGCAAGGGACGTTTGGGAAGGTCGGACGACCCCCCACCCCCCCCCCCAAAAAAAAAAATTTCAAATGTCCACATTTTTTCCAAAGAGATTTTTTTTCTAGGGCCTTTTGACAATGACATAAATAAAAAAGCATTGATGAGGTACCAGCAATGAGTCCAAAGACCTTGCCAATTGCGTGACGTAATCTATCTCAAATCCAGCAATTCTGAAACTGAGCCTGCTATCCGCTTCAAGCAAATTGTATTGACATTTTAATCACATCTTGCTGTTATTTCATTGTGAACAGGTCCAAAAAATTATGACCACGACCTACCCAGAAAATATCCTGGATACACCCCTGTTACAGTGGATTTATTTAAGTATTTCAAATCCCTAATTGTCGGTGCTTTTAGGAGACCCAGGTTCCTCCGACTTATCTTTCCCTTGGGGATTTGAAATTATTATTTTCCACCCCATCCTCTCTTTCTAAAGCAAATCTTTGATGCCATCAATGAAATCTGTCTCTTATACACATCTAGATGTTTATAAGAGACAGCTCTTAAGTTTCC